TAAAAAAATACCTGTCTCTAGCATCTGCTGGGCCGGCTCCGCAGCAACAGCAGGCGACGCAGAGCAGCATCAGCAGGAGAGGGACGAGGATGGCGGCCGCAAGGGCCCCATGGTCCTTAAAACCTGTGCGGACAAGATGGGTTGAGTCCAGCATGTTCTGTGGCTGCCAAGCCCGTAGAGCTGCCCTGCATGGAGAATGTAGGAGCTGGCAACTCATGGTGGGGCCAGGAAGCATCAGGTGGGACGGGGCTGCATCGCACCCTCCTGGCACCTTCCCCAGTGAGGATGTTCCAGTGCCAAGGAGTAAATTTGAAGTTGCTCTTACTCAACACGCAGTCACCCCGCACAGGGTGGCAGGTCCCACGGGAGCACTGGCAGGGCGAGGAACAGTTCACTCCAAAATACCCCTCCAGACAGGTGTCATTGCAGCTGGAAGAGAGAAGAAAGGAGGGAAATGTCCCCGGGGAGAGCGGGGCCCCGGCCCTGCCCTGCTCCCCGCGTTACCTGGCTCCCCAGTATCCCGCCTGGCAGATGCAAGCTCCCGACACGGGGTCACAGCTCCCTGCAACACACTCAGGGCAGAGGAGCTGGCATCCATCACCGAAGGTGCCAGCAGGGCAGGAGCTGTTGCAGCTGCCAAGACAGAGAGCAAAGCATCAGCCCGCTGCGCCCCAGAGCAGTGACCCCCCATGAGGACCAGTGGCCTGATCCTGGACGTACCTGGGTCCTGTCCAGCCCGGCTCACAGTGTGGGCAGGACCCCGTCTCTGGGTCGCAGACCTCCCCGCGCCGGCAGCGGGGACACAGCTGGAGGCAGTCCTGGCCGTAGAAGCCGGGGGCGCAGGGCTCCTTGCAGAGGGTCCCGTTCCAGCCGGGCTGGCAGGCCAGGCAGAAGCCGTCCACAGGCGAGCAGGGCTGGCTGCGCTTGCAGCTCCCACAGCTGCATGGGCAGAGGGGCATTGAGGCCTCGACGCCCACCCCTGACCCCTCCAAAATGCAGGTTTCGCCCCAGACTGGCACTGAACATCAGTTTGGACCACGTGGAAATACTCCGTAGTGCCTAATGCTCTGTAGTAGCAAGAGGGCAGGACGCAAGCAGGGAGAGATGCTGCTTTATCACCCTGGGGAGTGGGACCAAGGACAACCAGATTTTGGGATGACACCAACGCTTTCTGCTGGCATTAGTGAGATGTTTCTTTTGGGGCAACACTGATGCTCAACAAGGGATGGGGCAACAGGGATGCTCAACCCCCCTGGGATGTGTCTCCTTGCCCAGCCAAAGGGACAGACGTGACCGTGATGACTTCCCCCCCAAGATCTGGCTGCGACCCTTGGGTACCTGCTGGATCCCCCCTCTGCTGTCCCCAGCTCACCTGTGCACACATTCAGACCCGTATTTCCCTGCTGGACAGGGGTCCCGGCAGCTCCTGCCCTGGTAGCCGGGGCTGCAGCTGCAGTGGCCGCTGAGGGGGTTGCAGGAGCCATGCAAGCAGTCGCAGCGCCGCTGGCACGCTGGTCCCCAAAACCCAGCCTTGCATTCGCACTTGCCCGTCTCCTGGGCACAGGGTGAGAGGTTGCAGGAGCATTTGAAGCTGCACTTGCTGCCCCACCAGCCTGGCAGGCAGCGGCAGTGGCCGGTGAGGGGGTCGCAGTGGGAGCTGGCGAGGTTGCATTGACATTGCTTCTTGCAGGTGGGTGCCCACCAGCCCGGCTCACAGCGACAGTGGCCGGGTGGG